GAGTTATTAAGGAAGAACATTTTAAAAATCTTAACTCCACTTTATCATACAGTTTGAGTTCAGAATTTTAATTCACGACAAAAAAAGTATAAGATTCTAGTCACGAACGACTTTATACAGAATTTTTCAACGATGTGTGTAGCGGTTCTTCCAACTTTTGGGGATATTATACGCGCGAAGCTCGCTGTGTGTAGCGGTTCTCTGTATATATCTGTACCGCACATGCTTTTGTACAGTTTTAAAATTCACTTTCGGTACAGCACGCACACAGCCTCTCGTCGGCCTCGCGGTCTCGACCGCGAGAGATAGATGCATTAAAGCATCGAGCTTGTGCATCGAAGCCAGCGAGAATTGAAAAATATATTAAGACGGAGAGGAGAAAAATTGTAATTGGATTAAGGCGATTTCAATCTTTTTGCATGGGCACGCCGAGCGCACGAGCATAAGTGCAGATCGTAAACTCAATTACTTCAACAACGTCTCTCACTTTTCAATCAACGCGGATATGCGCCCGCGCCTCAACTCAGACACAGAGTCGTGAATTTTTTACCCCCCTCCCTCTCCCTCTCTCTCTCTCTCTCAATCCTTTTTTTTCATGAGCGTATGGCATGCGCTCGTTATATCAATCAATGACATAATTAAATGTCAAAAGTCATGGAGCCGCGCATAAATTTCGAGCGGACTGAAAATGATATCTCAAGTGTGTATTTATGAAAAATGAATTTTGCATTACGAAATGTGGCATTATATGCATATAAACGAAAAATCAATCTCGTAATCGCTACGGTGCATCGTGTACAGTATAAATGATTGATTTCTTGCGATTACGTAGGGATTTATGGATCGTTTTCCATTATTCTCGCTACTGGTAAATAGATACATTGTAAGGATCTGCCTGCACAAGATGAGTGATGATTAGAGCACAATGTTCAAACACACGCTGTGAAAGTTGCATTTATGTGCAATTATTTCTGCTTCTTTTCTTCTCTGATCTTCGCACCTTCAAATGAACTCAATCTTACGCAATTTGTATCGCTTATGCGTTATTGGGAAAAAAGCTGCGCTGCGTTTAAGAAGCTTGAAAAAGAAAACGATAACTTCTAGGCAAGAAAGGCTCCATTTTTATCATTTTAAAATAAACATGACGCACTCTACGAGGAAATAATTCGATGGGGGCGGTTATTTTGCTACATTCGAGCTGCATTGACGAACACGTGTATACTATATAGACAACCTATCACCCCAGTAACATAATTTACTCTATTTCGCATTTAATCTGCTAATCGCCACACCTGTACGATATAATATGCATATAAAAACTGAATATCTCAGTCAGTGTTTCGCGTGATTATTTTTGCAATTAATATTAAGTGTGTCGAACTCGAAAAAAAAGCTCACTTTATGCACGAAAACAGACATGCCCAAGTTAATGATGACTCATTTACTGTTTAGGCGGGCTTGAACTTTCAACTTTCGCATATTATATACGAGCCACGGCTCCCAACAAAATTAAGACGCTGGATTACTCCACAAGCGAATCTCAAAGCTCATATTTCAAAGCGTAGCCGTTAGGCGAGCTTTAAATGTATATCGCTTTTTCAGTATTGCGCTCGTCGAGCTGCCACAAGACTCGCCATCTCAAACGCTTCGGCATAGCTTAACGCTCGCACTGACGATATCGAGGATTAATAATATAGATCGCAATCTCGCAGCCGATCGGTTGCAGTACGTAGGTGCTTAATTGAGTTTCCGATGCATCCTCCGTACACACAATACGTCAGCTCGTGTTATTCGCTTTTTGCTCGTCTCTCGATTCGCAGCGACGACACCGCGTGTAAACGTTCCTCGTGTAAACCTTCGTACGCGCGCGTCTTGCGACTTAATCTTGCTCTTTCTCCTTCTTCTTCGTTTTAATTGGTGCCTTTTTTCCTCTTCACTGCTGCGTAGTGCAGCCGAGGCACCGAATCGACCGACGTAGGATATACATAATATCATCAAAAGCCCAGCGGAGAGCGTCCATTCTCGAACGCGGCCGGTATATTTTATTTATAAGGTATTTACTATTGATGAGGTCTATACATCAAAGTGACGCGTTGCATATATGACTGACGCGCTACGCGTTTGTTCGCCGCATCATCCGTCGGACGTGGCAGGCGCTTATATGCAGCTGCCCAAAACCGGTACGCAAAATGAAAGAAAATATCGCGTAGCGCCCGTAGCTGCGCGCGCGCGTGCCTCCTCGAGACAAAGCCCCCGTAGTGCACCGAAAAACCGGTCCGCTACTCGAGTGTATCTTCGCGCTACCATCGTTCTTCCGCGTCCCGTATAAGGATTGTTCTTGTCATGCGTGTACGTATGTAGAGTCGAGAGAAGGAAAAAAAAGGATTCGTGTATTCGTATTCTCTTATCGCGTACGAGAGCTCGTATGCGCTCTGGCTGCGCCCAAAGCAAACGCCGAGAGAGAGAAAGAGAGTAACTTGGCGCGCGCAGAGAGAGAGAGATGGCCAATTGCACAGTTTTACGCGTGTGCGACCTGATTTTGCTCACTCTCTGGGCAGATTTAATCGCATTTCTTCCGAGTCTTCTCTTTTCCGACCATCTCTCGCTCCTCGAGAGTTTTACATTTCAACTGTGCAGCGCGAAAAATAACACGCGTGATTATTTCACGTCTCGTGCGTCGCTAATGTTGCTTTTTCTCGGTCTGCCTATAGCTTCTGTACGAATTTATCAAGGATACTCGCAGTGAAGTAAAAGTGCGCAGAATAGGTCTTGAAGTATCCCATAATGCCTCAAGTGACTGTGGAAAAGTATATTTTTATTACGTCTTTATCGTCAAAATACTTTTAATTTCGTCACTAGAAAACGAACCAGCTGAAAATGTGAAACAGAAAAATGTTAATGTTTTTCATGACGAAATCGCTCTTAGCAATTCAATATTCTCGTAAATACATAAACGTATTTTCACGTAATAATTTCAAACTGTATAGTGCGAGTATAAGCGTTTTCTCGCCCCTTCCCCCTGCTTCTCGCTCTTTTGAACATTATCACTTGAAAGCTATAAAATATTTACGAACTGACGTGCATTAAAACTCTTTCTGCAACGCACCCGTTATTAATTATAAAACTTCTTTTAAAAATCTCTGCGAAAAATAACGGCCTCAAATGAGCAAAAGGGAATACGCTTAGCCGAGCCGCGCATTACCCAGATGTCATTGGTACATGGAAAAAAGGTAAATCACGTCCCATTTCCATTAGGCTCCTTCAATTTTAACATCCAGTGCCCATAATGAGCTGGTAATGAGCCTGGAATCGCAATTTTTCTTAACTTAAAGAGCGTTTCAATTTAGGAACAACGGCCATCGAAAATAAGTATCCTTAATAGCTAATCGATTTTTTTTAAATTTCATTCAAAATTGCAAAATATTTATTCAGAATACGTCATCAGAATTATTTTTTATGTTTCAAGAAATGTAACTATACACAAAGCCCGGTATAATTTTTCATACCTCGAAGCTTTTTCACAGCGTCAGGCTCTGGGCCAAAGACCTTCAGTCTTATAACGATAGCGTCCGTGATGTGCTGCATTTCATGCGAGTACCCTTGTAATTTTGCTTGGCTACATGTACTCTCCTGGTATCGTGTAAGTGTGTGTGTATGTATAATTCAAACCTTCGACAAAGAGATTTTCGCGCTCTTAATCGAAACGATTTAGCGCGAGATATTTATACGGTGAGATCGCGTTGGTGAATCCAATTTTTTCTTTTATTTTCTTTCTTTCTTTTTTTTGTTGTTGCATATTTCCATTCTTTTTGCTATGGCTTGAGCTCTCTGACGTGGTATGCCGCCACACGTGAGATCTATACAATTTCACAGTGCATGAAAATTTAAGTACATTATAAACGAAGCGCCCAGATCAGAAAGTATTCAGCTGTACACTTGATATATCGTTGCGTGGGGGAGAAGGCGCGGTATGAGCTTTTATAGTATTTATTACGCGCCAAGATTACAGCTAATTTTTTTTGTCTTTATTAAGTGTATTAGAATACGAAAAAAAATCAAGATATTAAAAAATTACCGATGATTTCATTAATGTAGTATCATTACCCAGTAACTAATAAAAAATAAAACAAAAAGGTGAGAGTTAGAGTACGCTTGAGGTGCACTATAACAAAATAACATTCGATCATTTTGCATAGTTACAACATAAAATTTAAAATATTTTCTGCTAGTTTACTGATTTGCTACCCAACAAGTTGCTCAAAGTGTTTGCAGATGCGAGATTGTTAATCACTAAGGAGAAAAGTCTGATTAGCTTCAGTATTATTAATTACATGTGTTTAACCGCCAAGTTATATGCACAGCTCGACAGACTGCACTTGACTGCTAATATCGCGTACTATTAAGCACCAAAATGTTATTAAACTTTGTAATTTACATCCATGTGTATGCATGCACTCCTTATAGCTTATATTGCGTTAGTGAAAGAAACAAACGAGAGTAAAAATTATTGATGAAAAATTACGAGTTACTGCGCGAAAAATTAAAGCTCCAGCAAGTATTTATAAATTTTATGAAAATTAATATTTGTATCCAAGCAAGTTATCTTGTACTAATTGAAATGCAAATATACTTTAAAAAAATTCATTAGAAAAAACTAAATCTTATAGATAATAAAAAATCATCTCTTGATGTCTAAAATGAAACTTTATAATTAAAACTCTAAATATTGTTAAGATGGTTACAAAATACAATTTATAAGTAACCGTGTAGTAAAGATTGTATAATTTTCACTTTAATTTCGTAGTTAGTTTTATAAATATTATATTTTAATTAATGTTGTAATAAGTTCTCTAATTTAATAAATTTTTAATTTAATTTTGAGAAATCGTATAACAGATTAGCTCAACGACAATATCTAGTGTTGACTCGAAACAATCTTGACATCTGCGTATTTGTAAACACTCACTCGTCGGTGTGGCATAGGTGGTAGAATCGTTGTACTCGTTTGCTCGAACAGTAGCAGAATAATAACTTGACAGGTAAGCGAATTCGCGCGTACAAAGTTGGAAATAGTTTCATCGCGCGCTCCAACGACCGTAATCCGTGAGACGTTGGGAACAAGGAAAATTATAAGTTGAAAAAGTAACAATTAAAAACAGGAGTAATCATGGTCAAGGGTGTAACTTTTGTGTTCAGAGACCATCATCATGTCGGTCTACGAAAGAAAATTATTGAAATACAAGATTGGAAATTTCATGAGTTAGAAGATGAAGGATACTATAATGATAAGGGAAAAGGATACAATTCAACAAAGAATCTGCTTTCCGACGAATCCGATGAATCCGTAGAATCCGATGAATCCGAAGAATCCGATATCAAATTTCTTAATGCTTGTGAAAAAGGCTACATTGATTTCGTTCAAATGAATCTGATGGCAAAAAAGGTGAATATCAATGCCCAATATAAGTCCAAACAACCATCTACACCTTTGCACATAGCCATTCACAATTCTGATATCGAACTGCTCGAGTTACTCTTGAAATATAAAGCGGATCCGTGTGTAGAAGACACAGGTAAAATGACCACAGCATTGCACCGCTTGTGTTTGTCAATATCAAAGGTGATGTCGAGTAGACAACGTGATTGCATATTGAACATGATTAAATTGGTGTTGAACTATCAAACTAACGTTAACAAAGAAGACAAGTTGCATGTTGCCCCGGTTTTTGGACTTTTTGATTATCAGGTTCATAAGAACACATTCGACAGCGAAGACAAGAGGAAAATGTTTCAGTACCTTCAAAAAGACATTTTAAAAATGCTTTTGGAAGCCGGTGTCGAGGTTACATCTCAAAGCAAGCAAGAGAGGACATTGCTCGATTTGGTCATAAGCTCCTGTTCGTCTCGCGACGGTGTCGTTCAAATTGAAATGCGAGACGAAGTCGGCATGGAAATGATCGAATTATTGTTGGAACACGAAGTAGATGTCACGGCTAAGAGCCGATGCGTAGAAATGCGTGAATTTTATTCACCCCTTCACCTGGCCGTTAATCGTTATAACTTTGACGCCGTAAAAAAATTGTGCCAACTTCATCCTAACGTCTCAACGATTCGGTTCAACAAGTTACTTTTGAACGATAGACCCAGGCATGTGATGCCCACTGCAGAGATAGCGCTCAATCTTATAAACATCATGATGACTTTGAATGACAATAATTACCAATTTAACGTCAGCAAAGACTTAGCAATGATTGATTTCTTGATCGGAACTGATGACGTATACTATGGTCCAAAACAATTTCTTAGTGTGTTGGCATTTGGTTCGTAAAATTATTAAATTATTTTTAATCCCAGTAAAGTTTACAAATATTTGACTACAACGATTTTTTACTTCAGGTTCCTTGGAAAGAATACGGAAATTTTTTGATTTGGCGCTTTCTCGCGATGAAGAACACCTAATTAAAACGACTCGCAAGTACCTCGCAATCGTGCGCAAATGTGAGATGTACAAAAGTCAAGAAATGATGGATTTTTTGTTGAAAAAGGCAAACGTCGTCGAAGATTCGAAAAACTACTTGGATGATTTCAACATTGATCTCGAACTGCAAAGAATGAAGAGCCTAAAAATCAGCAAAAAAGCATCTCTGTACGACGTTTGCAAGCTCCATCCGAAACAGGCATACTTCGATGTTTTGATCAATTCGGACTATAGATCGATCGTTAGGTCGGCCGAGTTCGATCAAATGTTCCCAGAGTGCGCTAGAATCATCAGAGGACACCTGGTGCGAGCCGAAGTCAACGCATGGTGCGATCTTTCTGTCGTAACACTTGCCGAGCTTCATTATGATCTTACTGACGCTGCCTCTCAGCAACTGATCAGCTACGCGAGCTACGAGGATAAGTTGTCTTGGGCCAAGCAGATTCAAGCTCTAACAAAGGACGTTTACTAGAATATTGACCTTTGCTCTTAAAAAATAAATTTTTAAAATATCAACGAAAGAGATCAACTTTTTACGAATATTGTAATACAATGTTGGAAGAATATTGTAAATTTTATGCCAATTCATAAGTGTAATAACTAAAATGGAATCTTTTCTCTCTGCTGTTACGATTTCAAATTAGCTAAATTTCGATGAATTTAATATAGGCACAATGCCTAGTGAGATTTTTTATCTTTTAATGAATTTTTATCAATGCATAGTTGTAACTATGCAAAAAATTAACATGAAACAAATTTTAAACTAATAAATCGAAATCTCACGCAAATTAAATTTTCAAATTTTTTTTATTTTTAGTCAGTAGGGGTTTTCCTTTGATCGTGTAATAATTTTTAGGCTTGCTACACAAACATTTTGCAATATTCAAGGATTTATCATTATTATTTTTTGATGTCAATAATTTTCAATTGCATGACTTGAGACTTATTAATTTACCATATGTCATGTATACATAACATCTATATAAAAAGGCAGCTGTTGCATAACACTTTATCATTTAACTAAGCAAGGGGTGAAAGTGCAGCGCGTTGTTCGTTCACATTTTACACGATTCAGGAATTTCGTGTAATAGTCGTTAAGTGCACATAGCTGAGATGATTTACTGTATATTTTTCAATAGCTCAACAATTGCTCGTTTAATTCTTTCCGTATTTTATCTTTGGTTTCGTACAGTAAAGTCACACAGATAACTAATATGCAAAGGTTTCTGTTTTTAAATTTAAAAAAAGGATGAGCAGAATGCTGTATTCGGAAAATTCATTCCAAGGTAAGAACTAGATAATTTCATTTGTAATTATGATTTGAAATAAAGTTCTGAAATTGCGTCTGAATACACGAGGGTGATTTTAAATTTATCCGACAGAGCAGTTATTCATGTATTGATTGCCGCAATATATATAACGAAGCCAATATATGGTAAACACTTGTGTTTACTTACATACGGCGTATATTAACTACGATTTGCAAATTACAAAAATCTATTATACTTATCGAAGATGTAGGTAGCGTATAATTAAATAATAATTATTCAACTTGGCCTTATTATATTTCAGAGTCTTGTTTTTCAAACAATCATTAGACGCACGTGTGTGTATTTTTCTTTTAATTTTTTAATAAATTTATAAACGGCATCATTGAATAATAAGGCAAGATGCCTGATATAGCCGCATAATATAATGGTATCTTGAATATTCCATCAGCGCGTGGTACGGGGTGTGGCGCAAATTTGAAGCTTCGATTTGCTTGCATATGCAATTAAGATAACTAAATCATGACATTTTATTGTGCTTGCATCGAAAGGAGCTATCAATTAAGATCTAATGTAGTCTTGGAGTGTATGCAAACTTTCTGCATCGATGTCGGGATTTTTAGCTTATTTTCCTCTGGGACAGTCGTAACTCGTTCGAATCGACGGAGCTCGGCGCGCTCGCAGACACACGCTAAATGGACCTTTATCTGCTCAACGATCCGCGATTATTTCAGCAAAAATCGGAGTTTTCGAAAGCCACTGCAGGCGCAGTCGACTCTCGTGCATTGCGCGTTGGCCGTTGACTCGTTGTCGAAGATCTCGAAATATTGAGATATTCAGCTGCTATTTATTTATCTAAGCGTAAGTATTAGCCAGCGAGTCGAACGAGGAAGTGCCGAGAGTTTTTCTCTGCCAGAATGCGCGTGTCCGTGGGTATTTGCGACTTTCCATAAAATAAAATCGCCTGGACCGCGGCGCGCTTTGCAATATATAGACGCGAGAACTTGTTTAACGTCCACTTGAATTTGTCCAATGGCCGTGCGCACGAATTAATTTTATGCTTTCGCTACGTTTTTTATGATTATATTTTAAGCGGGACGTTTGCCCTCGGTAATGGATATTTATGTTAATTTATTAGGTGCGTCGAGCGGCGAAAAGGCGCCGTGCGTCGAGAGATGAAATTTCGGCGATGCGCGTACGCGCGATGCGACTCGTCGCGAAGCATCGCCAAGTAAACGATCGGCGATTGGGAATCGTAAAAGCCCGAGCTTTTCCATTTATCGGCTCGATATTCCGCAATTAAGATTCGCAAGCGCAGAGGCGATATTTGTCGTATTTATGACTATTATTTATTGGCCGAGCGCGCGAGTTACCGCGCTAAAATTTACTGGACGCGCAGTCGTATTGCGCCCCGTAATAGTTTATTACCATCGTCGCGCGCGCGGGCAGAAAGATTCTCTATACATTATTAAATGCGCGCGACGCGCATCCTGATTGCGAGATATTGCTCGGCGCAGTGTCAGTGAAGTTTATTTACTCGGCGTAATGTAGCGCGCGCTGCTGGCCATAAGGAGCAAAAGAACAAGCTCGTAGCGTGTACGTTGATTCGTGCACCTTGTGGACTGCAGCGTGACCTTCGACGCGTAAATATAAACTTCGTCATCGGCCGGTGGGTGTTCTGCGGGGGGGGACAAAAAAAAATTATGCACACTCGAGCCAAACGAGTTCTTCTCGTCGATGGGCTCGCGCCAATAACGCCGAGATAACTTTTCAAGTGCCGAGTATCCTTGTTTGACTTTGCCCAATCTCGGCTACATTGTGTACTCGCGTTGCGCTCGACAATGGCCAATTTTCTGCCGCTTCGCCGATATTATCGTTTTTCGAGCTTACGTCTTCTAGCTTCTAGCTGCGGTACGTTGCTATAGTTACTGGATTATCTGATTTATGATTAAATTAAGTGAGACTTTAGCTTCGAGAAATAATAACAATTAATTCAAGCCCGTGGAGTCACGGGCTGGGCATATAGATACATATGTATTGCAATCATGCTCATGCACTTCCTCTTTACATAGCAGGCCGAAGATTTAAAATATAGTCAGCTTTTGAAATATCGCTTTGACTGATATCATCGATATTTCAAAACGTCAGCGCGAAATTTTTCAAACTGCTGCAATGCGGTGCCGCATTAAATTGCGTAATTTCGAATTCTGACGGTCTGCAGAAACTCGTATACACTCGAGGTACGCTGCAGCCGCTCGAGCTCTGTACCATGTATAAAAAAAACGTAATGCATCGTAATTATTTGCAATATGAGCCGAACCCGATTGTCGCGCAGTAATTTTCTATTCTTTGTTTCTTTGAGTACGCCACTGTGATCGTATATGCGCGGCCATAAACAAACGCCGAATATTATCGTCTCGCAGACGTACTCGTGAGCCCAACGTAAATAATAGCTGCATCGAGATTGCCCAAGCTCTCGGTTTAGATGCTTTTCTCTCCTCTCATCCGCGCGTAGACGTCATAATTTACGATTATATCACTGTGTAAGTCAGCGAAGGACGCGCACCGCTACGTATAATATTATGAAGCCATAGGCCTTATTGGTTATATACGGGCTTTCTCGTATAGGCCGTAGCAGAGATCCTGCCCGGGTGATACTTTAATACGCCACAAACGAGGGCGTAAACGAGTGCAGCAGACCTCGAGGCACGCGACACGTCCATTCGCCGATTGTCGTTGTAAATTCTCTCTCGGGCTAGTTCTCTTCCTTTTTTCTCTCGCAAACACTGTTTCTGATGCTTCGTCTGCATATTGTGGGCCTTTTGAGTCATATATGAGGTTCAGACGAATACGTTATTTTTTTTCAAAACTCTTGCACTCTGTAATGCGTTGAGCAGTAGCAGAATTGTGTGAAGTCGTCGTAAAAATTAAATGGAAAATCGGTAGCTTTTGTAAACGCATACTCTTTACTCTCTTTCTCTCTTCCAGTCGACCCATTGGAAAACGCATAGACATAGGCATATTGTCGCCGCTATCGACGCCTTTACTCTTATATATGGCTTATTAAAGACGATCGATTTATGATCTTCGGTGATACACAAAGCGTTCGTACGTATGTACAACGGCTATGTTTATTGTAACATTTTTTCTGATTATATGACGGCAACTGTGTGCACCCTGCGGGCTACGTGTCAATTATATTGTAAAACTTGATGTTTCTATACTTCGATAATAATATTGAAGACTGAAACAAAGACATAAAATAATATCATGTGCTTACATGTAGTGTGCATGTGCTATATAAGCCATCGTTTAATGCACCAACACGGCAGCAGCTGCTCGAGGCTGTTTCGCTCCTTGTATGGAGATGAGCTTTGGCCACAAGGGCGAGATATCGGCGAAAAGTTGCACGCCTATCCAAATCGAAAAGACTCATAGGCACGTTTTATGGAGCACGCAAAACACGTCATGGACGTAGTCCAACAAATTATGGAATGGATATTAAACATTTTTATTAAATGTAAAAATAGATTAATCGGAACCTTAATTGTAAACAATATGATCATTAACGATTTTGACTTTGTCCCTCGACATACTGATCATGTTTATAGTAAAACAAATTAGTTTGAATATTGTCTTTCGCTATCAAACAATCAATAATATCAAAAGATAGAGAAGTTATACTCGTTCATTAATTTCTGGGGCACTAAATAGACTGATACATTGTTTAAATTAGGCCCCAAAATGGATAAAAGTGAAAAGAAATTCAAGGAAGTTGTTTCAAAAGATAATTCAAGTGAACATGACATTGTTGTTTCAGACAACCAAAAATACATTTGTAATATTTGCCAAGAGGCATTTACACTAGAATCAAGCATGATAACACACCGAGACAAAATTCACGATGAACGAAAAGATTTCTCATGTGACAAGTGCGAAAAAAAATTTGAGTTCCGAAGTCACTTGAGTAGACACCAAATATCGGTACACAAAAGCTGCAAAGATTTTTTATGTGACAAATGCGAGAGAAAATTTGAAAATAAATACACTTTACTCAAGCATAAAAAAATATTTCACGAAGTTTTTAAAGATTACTTATGCGAAAAGTGCGCCAAGAGATTCGGAAATAAACGTAGTTTGTTCATGCACGTAAAGAGAGTACACGAAGTTCCGAAAGATTGCCCCTTCAAAGTCTTTAAACATTACTCCTGCGAGAAGTGCGATAAGAAATTTGGAATTAACTCATATCTAATTAGGCACCGAAAAAATGTACACGAAGATCGGAAAGATTTCACATGTGATAAATGTGAGAAGAAATTTGTATTCAAATACCAATTGCTTGACCACCAAAGGACAGTTCACGATCGTCACAAAGATTTTGCATGTGGCAAGTGCGAAAAGAAATTCGGAAAGAAACAACATTTACTCAGACACCAAAAGACAGTACACGAAAGTTGTAAAGGTTACGCTTGCGACAAGTGCGGAA